ACTTTGGTTGCTTCCCGCCTTGCTGTGAATCTCTGGCACCCTGCGCTGTTCCTCGTTTTGCTCTGACTGTATATCGATGGAACGTTTTGTGGATCAAAACTTCGTTTCCTTTAAAAACTGCTCCAGCAAAATGGCCACCAGCCGTCATCAACACAATCCAGTAACATTTCATTGTTAGACTTGTAAACAGTGACAACGTGTCTTCTGGAGTGGTTGGGATGTTCTGATTGGACAAAAAGAGGAAAAAAAAAATGAATTGAAATAAATTATAACATTTCTGAGAAAGATAACTCTAAAGAGTACAAACCTACCGGTATGTCATAAACATCGCAGGTTCAAATAAAATTCAGGTTATACGATTTTAAATAAGTTAATTTGTGTTTCTCTTTGTTTAAAAAGTATCATTAATGATAATTTAACTGTGAACAAAGCAACTGAAGAAGAATACATGCAAAACTTAATTTGAAAGTCACTTTGTCCTAAATCCAATCCATAAAAAAAGAGGATATGATTTTGACTGAGCATGTGGTAACAATTCTTTGGCCATGCTAAGCCACAAACTTGGATCTTCTGTACAGTTGAACCAGTGAGGTTCCTTAGAGGAGAGTAATCAGAGCAAATAACTAGGGACCCATTTCCTTTCACAAGGCATATTTGGTGCCTTTTTTATCAAATATTTTAATAACCCTTTAACCCCTAAGAGTGACTGGCTTCTAAACTCTCATCACAGTATCATCCTCTAAGAAAATGTAAATGTCACAAGAATTGATCACTAATTTAAGAAGCTCCTGATTGTCCAACAAATTCTCCTTGTCATTACCACAGGAGTGAAGAGAGATCAGTGTGGAGAATATGAATACAAATGTTAAAGTGTAAAGGGTTCAGCAGGAGAGGCAGTGAGAAATCAGTAAGTTCGCACAGGGGACTCAATGTCAATATGTACCACAGGTTTGACACTTTTCCTGTCATTGTGTTGTATTCTTGGGCAAGACATTTACCTCTAGCTCTGCCTCTCTCACCCAAGATTGTTCGAGGGTTCCTGCACACTGCCAAGAAAGCCTGACAAAATGCTGGGGGCAAGGGGGTAGGGAAAGATGGGGGGGGGGGGGGGGGGGGGGGGGGTAAGCTGCATTGGACTAGAATCTCATCCAAGAGGTGTGGTAGTATTTCTTAGCTTGTCACTTCAAGCTACCGAGACCAAATAATAAGCTTTAGCACCTTGTGGGTCACTTGGCTTGACTCTACTCAGTATTGCCCTATTCTCAAATAAGAACCAAGTCTCAGGCTGGAAATCCCTTAATATTCTGCTGCTTCCATGCACCACATACAGCTTAAAAGGCTGAGTAACTCAGCTGAACTCCTTACAAA